GGTTTTTAGATCTGCCAAAATCACGCTGTTCACATCTCTGCTGTAAACGGTGTCAGCTTCGCCTCGTGCGAGACCGTGCCCGCGTGTGCCAGGCTCGCACACGTGTGTGTGTGGCTGCCTGGTGGGAGCCACTGGGGAGGAGTAACAGGGACAGAGGGGTGACACTTCTGCTTCTGCTGACCAGCCAAAATGACCAGCAGCTGCCTCTGCTTCCAGCTGGACACTGAAGTGGCACCTGCCAGACCAGGGCTACCTACCAAAGCCGAGACAAACAGCCAGCAAGGAATACAAAGGTTACTGCTATTTCTTGTTTTATTTTGCAAGTGTGGTGATCATCCATTTCAATAACCACACCTCTACCCCTCTCTTTCCCACAGGCATCCAGTTCACAGTTATAACCATTTGTTCTTACACCTGGCCTTAAAGCAGGCGCTGATCTTGCTAATATTTGAGTTAGCTTTACGCACTTCAGCAGCCGGACTAACCTTAATATAAAATTGCTTTTAACATCAGGGCCTCCGTTAACAACCAAAAAAATCAGTGTTTCTGAATTAAAATGGCTGTGGCTGCAACCAGAGTAGCCATCAGTATCTGAGCCGAGAAGAACCAAAAAGTGGCTCTTACAATGAGTGTTTTGTGGCTGCTGTTTCGGTGCCAGTTGAGAAGGCACCGAGAGCTTTATTGTATCAGACCTACAGATTGCCCTATACATATTAGGGCCTTTAAGGCAGAGAAATAAAAGTGGAAGGCCAAGGAACAGAGTTCACCCCAGCTCTGCCCAACCAGGCCTCGCCAGTATCACAACAGTAAGGGATGCTGAGGGATATAAATATTATTATTAGGCACTGCACCATAGTAAGATTCACTCTGCTCCTTCTGTACCCGGCTCCGCGCTGCCCGGATGCTGGCTTGGTGCCAAAGCAGCCACGCTGTGCCTCAGCATCTCTTCCCAGGGCAGCAGGAACAGCACAGGCTCTGCTCCTCCATCCCTCCCGTCCTCCCTCCAGCTCCTGACAGTCCTTCACAGCACTAAGACACACGGGCAGAGCAAGGCTTCCACCTGTACGTGGTCAGCACATACTGGAAGAAAGGGACCACGCCATGAATGCAAACCCCACAGCAAAAGGGACAGAGAGGAGGATGGGCCCTGACTGCCATTTTAAGCAGCAGCCTTCAGTATGAAGCAAAATCCCCAGGAGGTAACTCCTGTATGTCCTCCTACTTACTCCAATCATTTGGGATATGGCAAGGGGACCACGCAGCACACCTCTTCCTTACTGCTTACAGACATTTCTCCAAAAATTTTCATCTCATGAAAGTTGGCAATATTATTTTTGATACTACAGAAGATCAAAATGATAACCACTCCACCACGGTGAAGTTAACAGAACCCAGATGAGACCAGGGTTCTCTTCCCAGGCTGATTTTGCCACGTGTCCCTGCTCAACAAAGAGCGGTAGTGACACGCAGTTAGTCCCCCAGAGCAAGAGAGGCTCCTGCAAAGCCAAAGGCATCCACGCGTCAGTATCACAAGCACCTCGCCTTTACACTTCAGCACACTGATGCTCCCAGCTCCAGGCAATGCAGGCAGGTTCCACAGTTCTCATCTTCCTGTGGAAACCAGGGCCCACGCCAAGCCCACCCCGTCTCAGCGCCTGGCTACGTGCAGCCACAAGGCTGAAAGGAGCTGCCAGCTCCACCTTTGGGAGGAATTGCAGGAGGAATGTCCTCTCGGACACCACCGGCACCGAATTCCCACCCACTTCCCTGGCATGGAAGCCTGCCTTCACAGCTGCAAACCCAAACGGGCTCCCAGAGCCTCCACTGCCCAGCAGCTGTACTGGCTATTTTCTGCTCAACCAGGGCCTCAGTGTTTTCAGCCAGAGAAAAGCCTGCCTGAATTCACACACACACACACACACACACACAAAGGGGGGGGCGGTCTGTCGGCCTCCAGACTGAAGTTTGTGAAGCACTAGTGTCATTTCTCCCCACTATATATAACTTGGGGGGGGGTGATCTCCGCTCATCACACCCCTAAATTGATGATTGGGGGGGGGGGGGGAATAATGGGATTTTAATAGCTTTATTCTCAACCTACTTTAAACTCACAAAGTTGTGGGGCATTATGTCATTGGCAGAGTTACCACACGTGATCCTCTGTGTGTTGTGAAGAAACGAGCTAGAAATGAGTACTGGATGCCATGAACTCAAAAGATTGCGACTCCTCTGCCAAAGAGGAGTCTGTCACAAGTTGCTAAATACGTAACCACGCACGTTAAAGAGACCCACAGGCTGGCAGTCAGTATTTCGGGCCGATGAGCCTGCTGTGCACCAGCTAGCAACCAAAAAGACTTTAACTCTTGCTCCACTCCAGGCTTCCTGCGTGGATTTGGAGTAGGTCACTATCTGAACTCCCATTTACCCCCTCACTCCTCTTCCCTCCGAAATGAGATCTGTAGACTGTACCCATGCAGTCTGTCCACAGCAGAGAGTATAAACACGCTGAAGGCTGTGAACTGCTCAGACACCACAGTGATCACGCGCTGCCAAGTTTTGATAAAGTGATACTATCAGGCCAATATTTTACAGTAAAACTATCTGGGGGGTGACAGAATGAGAAATAAAAACACCGACGTATGCCGGTCTAGAAATCCCAACTTTGAGCAGCAAATTATCCGAGCTGTACAGAAGTCTGTGCCAGCAGCAGGCGGGCACCAGACGCAGCACGCTGTCTCCTCAGCACAGAGAAGGCACCATCAACTCATGTCTTTTCTGCTCTTTACTATAAATATTTAAGGTTTAAAGTAAGCTTTCTGTTACTGCATAGCTCTGGGAAGAGAGGCTTGTCAGCATGCTCTCTGACTAAGCAGCTGAAAGAATGAAATTGATGGACTGGCATCTTCACACAGACTCCCCATGAGCATCTCCTGCACTGTGCTGGACATCCCGTGGGCAGCCCCAGATGTCCACCAGTTCCCCAAGCACTCTGAAGCGGGACAGGGATAATGGTAAAGATCTTATTAATGCTGCAGGTCTGACTAACAGGGGAGTTTTGCGAAGACCAGCTAACATTTGTAAAGGTACCCTCATTAAAACACCTCACGTGAGCTCAGGCTCCTCTGAATTAGGCCAGCAAGATCTGGTCCAGGGGACATCAGAAACTGCTCTGTAATTCAAGCTGAAGATTTCAGCTTCTCAGAATTTGCAAAAAAAAAAAAGGCTTACCTCAACTTTTTACACACCTGGATATACAATTTCTCACTGAAAAGTTTTTGTTAGTGTAACAAGAGTATCTTCACTTGCTGTTCAGCTGCAAATTGTTCAGCTTGACCCTACCAGCTTCTGAGGGGGCCAAAGGTCGCTCAGTTTAGTACTCGGCACATCGGGGCAGAGTGGGACACCACAAAACCACTTGAGTTAAGGTTACACAGAGCGAACAACACACGCTTCCATTAATAGCAACCAGCCAGCACAAGCAGTTTGAGACAGCATCCACAAATAAGCTACATGTACGTACAGTAGTGCTAGGGTCGCTTTTACATTTTCCAATGCTCATTATAAAAAAAATTAAAAATAGATGCATCTTAACCAAATGCTTTATTCCCCAGAGCACTAGATCCTCATCGTGTAGCATATTTTAAAGCAATATTTTACAAGCTGTGTTTTGAACCAATTGCTACAGAAAAACAGGACTAGTTGGCATAAATTTCACCAGTTTGTGTTTACGTCAGTGAGATGACAATCATGAAGTCAGCCTTTTGGGGACAGTCTCACTCTTTGGGTGTTAGCTTTCTGGAAATGGGGCTGTTTCCTACAGTTCTCATGGAATTAATTTTATTACTGCTTTCAGGCCTCACAAAGATATAAAAGACCAGTTAAATGCCGCTTCCCTTACTTAAGGCTGTAGGTAGATCTAAAACGGTACACTAATTTACGCAGCGGTTGTTCAGTTAAGTCTAGGAAATAACACGGTTAAAAAACATGGCTTTGGTCTACGCGGGTCCAGTGAGATTATCTTACTAGTTGCTCTTTACAACGAGGAAGCATGTCCGAGGTCATGTGAGACCAAAACACATGCTCACATTGCGAGAGCAGAAGTTTTAATATAAGGAATAGGCAACTGTACAACAACCCACGCGGCATTTCCGTCCGCGCTCCGCACCTCCCGGGGTCAGGCCCCTCGCACCCCGTTTTGTTTGGGATAAGGCATCTCTGGAGAACTTCAGCCCGGGCTCGGCCCACGGCTGGTGCAGGGCAAGTTAAAGGAATGAAGAAGTGACTCCAATAAAATAACGGAGCCCTTTAGAAACCCCTACACCGGTGACCCCTCCAAAACATCAAGCATTTTACCCATCATTAAAGTTACTTAAGAGACGTGCTGCCATAGCATCTTTCACAGCCGGCTGTAATAATCTCAACCAAATGAATCACTTGGAGCTGTCTGCGATAGCAACAGAAACCCAGGTAATCTGAAAGGCAGTGGCTGAGAGTTACGTTTTATCATCGTCCACCTTTTAAGCCGAACAACTCTTTCTAGCTATTTAAGAGCCGTGGAGCGTAAACAAGGCGAGCTGCGGCAGCCTGCCTGCTCCAGCCGACCTGCGCCGCTCCGGGCACCCAGACCCCCCCGCCCCGCGCTGAAGGAGGCACATCTCCCCCCCCACGGGGGTCGCCACTCCGGGGAAGGGGGTCTCACCGAGGGGCGCGATACCCGGCCCGGAGCGCTGCCCTGAGCACCGGCACCGGGCCACGCCGTGCCGCCGCTCCCCGCTAAAAATAAAGCCCATCTCCGCCTGCCCGCCCTCGGGAATCAGGGTGGGATGGATGTTTTTCTTTTAAAGCCGGATTTTAGCAATCGCGCAGCACACATACACACACCCCCTCACAACCCCCCGCCAACCCGCCCCCCGAATGGCCCATCCCGCACCGCAGCCCCGCACACAAGTTGAGCGGCGGGAGCGCGGGGCAGGGGCCGGGGGGCAGCGCTCGGCACTCACCTGCCCGGCGGTGTCGTACAGCCCCAGCAGGTACTGCTTGCCCCCGACGGTAACGCTGACTGCGAGGGGGGAGAAACACAGCGGGTGAAGGAGGAGCAG